CCCCCCGCCCCCGAGGAGGAGGGGGAGAGGAGGAGGAGGGAATGGGGCCTCGATGGGAGGAGGAGGAGGAGGAGGTGGAGGAGTTTGTGGCGTTGCGCACTGCCACTGGACAAAGTGGACATCCACGCGACGGGCGGGCGACACGTGTCACCCGCGCACGTCGCTGAAGGTTCGCCTGGGTATGCGCAGAAATCCCGCGCACGTCGGTAACGTCCAAATCCACTCGGTCACCGTTAAGGCGCTACTTTAATTTCCAGGCCGACACGGCGACTTTGCGAGCACCGCGCGCGCACGTTGGAGATCTGTTTTGCCCACGGTAGAAAAGTCCGCGCGTCCGTCTGCCTCCTTAAAGGGCCACGGATTTTTTGAATTCAGTTTTTGGATTTTACATGTCTGCTTTTTCGGTTGTGGACAACGCAGACCTCCGGCGAGCGCGCTTGTGACCATGGTCACCCGCGCGCGCGGGTGGCGCGTGTCACCGTCGGCCCCCTTGAAGAGCCCTAGAAATTTTGAATTCAGTTTTTGGAATTACATGTCAACTGTTCTATCGTGGACAATGCAGAACTCCAGCGCGCGCGCGTTGACAGGCGTCGCCGTCGGCCTCCTTCAAGGGCCAGCGAAACTTGGAATGCAGCTCTTGGAATTTCATGCCAATTTTTTTGTTGTGGACAATGCAGAACGCGCGCGCGCGGGCGACCATGGTCACCCGCGCGCGCGGGTGGCGCGCGACGCCGCCAGCCCCCTTAAAGAGCCCCAGCAATTTTGAATTCAGCTTTTGGAGTTAAATGTCAAATTTTCTACCGTGGACAATGCTGCACTCCAACGCGCGCGCGCGTCACCGTCGGCCTCCTCCAGGGGCCACCGAACATTGGAATTCCGTTTTTGGAATTCCATGACAACATTTCTGTTGTGGGCAATGCAGGAGTCCAGCGCGCGCGCGCGGGTGACCATGGTCGCCCGCCCGTGCGGGTGACGCGTGTCACCGTCGGCCTCCTTAAAAAGCACCAGAAATTTTGAACTCAGTTTTTGGAATTACATGTAAACTGTTCTATTGTGGATAATCCAGAAATCCAACGCGCGCGCGCGTGCGAGTGATCGACCGCGCGCGCGCGGGTGGCCATGGTCGCGCGCGCGCGAGCGCGCGGGTCACCCGAAATCCGCTCGGTTAAGCGTTCACTTTAGGTTTCCAGACCAACATGGCGTTTTTCAGATTGTGGACAATCTAGAACTTCACCGCGCGCGCGGTCACCCGCGCGCGCGGGGATCCATGGGTTCCCCTGCGGGAATATATGGGTTCCCAGATTAGGTTACGTTCGCGGGAATCTATGGGTTCCCCCAGCGGGAATCTACCTGCGGATTCTCGATCGGGAATTTATGGATTCTCTTTCTTAGGTTTCCGCAATTGCTCGAAGCTAGCGTCGATATCGATGCGCCGTGCTGGCCTCTTCGGCGTGCCCAACATGGGCCGATAGTAGTAGTCATGGTTTGTCGCGAATGTACAGCTAGAGCGCTGCCGACAGGTCCTCAAAGGTTGCCATGGGTTATCAAGGGCTGTCGAAGTTGTCAAGGCTTGTCAAATGTCATATGTAAGACTGTCAAGGGCTGTCAAGGCTTGTCAAGGGCTGTCCAGGGTTGTCAAGGCCGTTGTCAAGCTCTGTCAAGGGTTATCCAAGGCTGTCAGGGTTGTCAAGACTAGTCAAGGGTTATCCAAGGCTGTCAAGAGTTGTCAAGGAGCTGTCAATGAACCAAAAAAACATGAAACAACAAATCAAGACATCGAAAACAAACCAACAAACAAAACGAGCGCCATGAAAAAAACACGACTCCAGGAGGTCTGGGGGGGCAGGCCCCAAAATGCACGAAGGTCCCGGGAACCCTGCGGGGGGACCTCCGTGCACCGGCCTGCCGCGGCGCCCCGTCGGTTGACTTGCGCGCCCGTCTTTGACGAGTCGCAGGCCCAGACACGTCTGACTGAGCGGATTAAGCCAGACGAAGTCTTGCTCGAAAGAAGGAGGAAGAGGAGGAGGAGGAGGAGGAGGGGGAGGGGGAGGAAGACGAGGGGCAAGAGGAAAAACACACTGAACAGACGCTGACCAGAAGGAGGGAGGGGAGCAGCAGAGGCAGCGCAGAGCAAGCCGGGGGCGGACGGAGGTGGTCGTCGTCGTGGCCAAGGCCAGGGGGGGGTCGTTGGGGCAGGGCGTCGGCGGCCGCGGTCGTGGCCAGGGGAGGGAGTGGTCGTGGTCAGGGGAGGGCGGCGGTTCGCGTCGGCCGCGCTAGCCGCCGTGGCCGCCGCCAGCCTGGCCGCGGGCGCCCCGACCGGCGCCTGCAGCCTGCGGAGCACGGCCCGCGCGTTCTCCTTCCGGAGGAGATGCGAGAGTCGCTGGGCGTGCTCCGCCGCCACCTGCGAGGGGTCGCCCCCCGTGGCGTCTGCCGCGCGCTTGGCCAGGACGGCCAGGGCGCGTCGCGCCTCCTTGCCCCAGCCGCCGCCGTGCGCCTCGACCACCATGGGAATGAAGGTGATCCCGGCGGCGGCGCAGCTGCGCTCGGTGTCGAAGAAGAAGCGTTTTTGCTCCTCGCACCGCTCGGCCGCGGCGCCGGGCGCGGCAGCCGAGGCGGCGAGCAAGTCGCCCCGCAGCCCCGAGGTGACCGCGAAGTCAAGGGCGGCCGGGACACATCCGCCGGGCGCCGGCCGCCGTCGTCGACCTCGCCGCCGGCAGGAGGCGGCCCACTTCTGTTCGCTCGCCAGGCGCAGCAGCAGCGCGCGCGGCAGATGCTGGCGGCTGCTCCAACGGCCCAGCCGGCCCACGCGCAGGGCGCGTGGATGGTCTGCAGCTGTCGACCAGGTACAGGGCCCAGCCTCCGTCCGAATACAGCCAGCCGGAATCCTGTCGGGTGGAGAAGGCGCCTTTGACGGCCTCGAAAGAATGAGCCCAACTTCCGATCCCCTCGACCCTCCAGGACCAGGCATGGTTTCCGAGGTTCTCCCAGCTGAGATAGCCCAGGCCCCAACCCCCGATCCCTGGAGGGTCTGATGAGGAATCATGGAGGGAGGTGTTCGAGGCGCCCTTCCCTGGCGGGGCAGCCAGCGGCTCGGGCGGATCGCCAGGCGGGGCTCCTCCCGCCGGCGATAGCTCTCGCCCGCCAGGCTCTGACCACTCGGAGTCCTCGGCGTCGTCGGCGGGCGCGTCGCCCTGGTCCACCATCGGTTTGCTGCACGTCCCGTCGTCGTAATACACCGCGATGGGCTCGCACTGCGGCCGCATGCCTGGGAACTCCAGCGTGCTGCCCACGGGTGCCGCCGCGCTCAGCGCCGCCGCCCTCATGAGCAGCCCCAGTCCGCCCGCAGCAGCCGGCGCCCAGCGGCGAGCGTTAGCCGGCGCGGCCGGGCGCCTGGCCTCCGCCGTGCCGCCCTGCGGGCGCCGCCTCGCGCCGCGTGCCGCCACGGCCGCGCGGGCAAATCGTTTGGGCCCCGGATGGGCGACCCGCCTCCTCCTCCTCCTCCTCCTCCTCCTCCTCCTCCTCCTCCTCCTCCTCTCTTTCCTCCTCTTCCTCCTCCTCCTTTTCCTCCTCCTCCTCCTCCTCCTCCTCCGCCTCCTCCTCCTCCTCCTCCTCCTCCTCCCATGTAAAAAACGATGGGTCCGCGCGCCCGGGGCCCCGGCTCAGGGTCCACGTGAGGCCGCCCCCCAGCTTGGCCCCAAAAAGCTCGAGGGGAGAGAGAACGATAGAGCGCCCGCATCCTGGGGTCCCAGAAAGCCAAGCAGTTACGCTACAGCCAAGCAACTAATCTTCGCTCTGGGCACTCCACGCATGCCCGCGCGCACCAGTCCTGCGTACATACCTCATTCGGACCTGCGCAACCGACAAAGGTCAGGTTATCCGGGGAGCAGGGGGGGGGCGGGCCCCATGACCCAGGTTACCATCGGAACCTTGAAACGGATAGTCACCTGGGGGCCCGTGCAAACCACCGTGGAGTGCCAGGATCGCGTTCCGCCGCCGCAGCCGCCGCTGGAGGAGGAGGAGGAGGAGGAGGAGGAGGAGGAGGAGGACGAGGAGAAGGAGGAGGAGGAGGAGGAGGAGGACGGCGAAGACGACGGGGCCCATGGCCTCCCAGAAGGGCAGGTGGCGAGCCCTCTCCCAGACGGAGCCGCCCTCGCGCGCGTTGCCCAGCAGCGCGGTCTTCTCTCGGAGCCCCGAGGCAGTGAATGAGTCGGAATACTTCACCGTTCCCTCCTGCGAGCGGCCCGCGCAGCTGCCGATCATCCGTTCTAAGATGCTTCGGGTTGCGCGCAGACAAGACGGCCCCGCCCCCAGGTAGTCCACGAGGGCCTCAACAGGCTCCCCGAGTAGCCGGGGCGGTCTCAACACCCTAGGGCTGCCCTGGCGGCGCCCCTGGGACGCTCCACGCCCCGGGGTTGAGGGAGGTGTTGCTGGAACCGCCCTGGGCTACTCGGGCTAGTCTGTCTGTGCGCAACCCGAAGGGTTCCCATCCCTATGCCGAGAGGACTGCCACATCGAACGCTCGCTGGGTGCTCTAACACGCTGGCCGGCTCGCGGCGGCGGCGGCAGCGAAATGGGACCAAAGACTTGCGGCAACTGCACGATCAACCAGCGTCGAAGCAGGAGATCGGTCGAGCGGGAACGTGAGACGGATCGGGCCAGAACGTGCGCTAGCATGGGGCCAGAACCCGAATCGTATCGGCCGCGCCAGGATGCACAGCAGCGCCATGCGAGCAACGGGCCGCGCCTGATCGTCGGACCATTCGTGGGGACGTACGGTGCATCGACAAAATGTTGCACCACCTGGTGCCCGCGACATCAAACGTCGTTGTGCAATCGACGTCGTCTCTCTCTCTTCCCCCTGCACCCAATCAAATCAAATGTGGGCCGGGATCACCGAAACAGCTCGGTGGTGCAACAGTCTGTCGGGCGCCTGGGTCCCCAATAGTGGATTGGGGGGGAGGAGGGTTGATTCATGCGTGCGAAGAACAACGCAAAGTGGTGTAACATTTTGTCTCTACACGGTGAGGGGGGGTAGGGACAGAAGACTGCTCAAAGAAGGAGAAGGATGAGTGGGAGCGCAAGGAGGAGGAAGAAGAGGAGTGGGAGAAGCAGCAGGAGGAAGGTTGAGAAGAACGATGAGGATAAATATGACGATCTTGAATGGGCGGAGGCAGAGGATGAGAAGGAAGATGAGGTGGAGGAGGAGGGGATGAGAGAAAATTGGGAAGGATGACGAAAGGGAAGTTTAAGGCCAGTCTGCTCGCTCACAAGAGGTTCTGAGACAGCCTCGAGACTGCCCCAGAGGGCCCCAGTGTGACCTCGATACTGTGCAAGATGGCCCCCGCGTGGCCCAAACATGTCAGCACCATCCGCCAGCCCCACCAGGGGGCGCCAGGACCTTGAAAGAAGCTGATGGACCGTAGTCCTGCTTTCTCCAAGGCCTAGTGTCTCTCCAATGAAAAAAGCTGATGGACCGTTGTTCTATCCTTTGTCCATTGCCTAGTGTCTATCCAGCGAAAGAAGCTGATGGACGCCATTGCATATTGCCTCTCCATTGCCTGTTGTCTCCCATGTCCCTCCATTGCCGATTGTCTTTCCATTGCCCCTGGGGGGCGACAGGATGTGAAAGAAACTGACGGACCGTTGTCATGTTTTCATGTATTGTTGTTTGTCCATTGTCTATTGTGTCTCCAGTTATGTCTCTTTTCTATTGCCTACCAGGGGGGACAAACACCTAGAAAAAAAAACAAGGATCGATACTCGAGGATGAAAGTGGACCAAACAAAATCGAGGGCCCCTCGAACATCGGCGATCGAGGAAAATCGAAGATCGAGTATGCTTGAAGAGAATCGATGATGATCGAATCCAATCGAGGATCGAGGACGGTCGAACATCCAGGAGGATCGAGGATCGGACTGAGCAGGATCGAGGATCGAGCATCGAGAAGGGCCGAGAAAGGCCGAGGTCGGTCACAGAACGCCGAAGACCGGGGAGGACCGAGGACCGAGGAGGAGCGAGGTTCACGGAGGATCGACGTTGAAGGAGGATCGGGGATCGAAAAGGGTCAAGGGTAATTACAGGAACATAACGGATCAATGGTAAGGATCGAGGAGAACTGAGGATCGAAGAGGATTGATGGTGATCGAGGAATAATTACAAGAGGGCTGAGGATCGAAGACTGAGGATCGATGGTGATCGAGGGTAGAAGATGCCGACAAGAGTCGAGGATCGGTAATGATCGCTGATCGAAGGCAATCGAGGATCGAGGAGAGCTGCACGACGATCGAACGCGTCGACTGATCCAAACAACCTAGTCGCAAACCGTGAGGCTGCTACAATATTGCGCCGCCCCGGAAGCAATGTTGGTGGACGACATGGGTATGTGTACATACAGGAATGCTTTGCTGTAACTAATGAGGATCGATGATCGAGGAAGATCGAATATCGAGAAGCATCGATCGAAGTGAATTGAATATCAAAAAGAAAGCATCGCAAAGGCCGATGAACTTTGAGGAGGGCAGAAGAGGATCGATGATCACGACGAATCGAAAAAAATGTGAGAATCGAACATCAAAGGGGGTAGAGAAAGACCGAGTGTCGAGGGTCGAGGGGTCATCGAGGAGGATGCAGGATCGATCTGAGCCGAGGATCATCGAGGAGCATCGAGGATCGAGGAGGATGCAAGATCCAGGAGGACGCAGGATCCAGGAAGACGCAAGATCCAGGAGGATCTAGAAAAATGCAGGATCGATAGGGGTTATCGAGGAGGATGCAGGATCCAGGATGATCGAAGGCGAAAATCGAGGAGCATCGAGGATCGAGGGCGGTCGATATGTGCGGGGGTAAAGACAGTTTGGGGGGGATCGCGTTCCCGGAAGCCTCCTTTGGAACATGATTTCCGACGCCCCGGGGCCACGCGCGTCCTGGCAAAACCCCCTTCAAAGGGTCCTTACTGGGGAGTTCCACGGAACTCGTTTTTCCTGCGTGGGCGACCCGTCGATGACTCCATCAGTCCTCGTGCGCGGTCATGGGGGCCACGGTTTGGACCTGGGGGGGCCCATCGAAAATCGAAGGTCAAGGAGCATGGAGGATCGAGGACCCATGAGAATCGACAGGGGATCTGGATCGACGAGGATGAGGATCGAGGTAGATCGGGCGATGGTGGAATAGTTTTGCAACTTGACCGGCTGACCGGTTGACCGGCTGACCGGCTGACCGGTTGACCGGTTGACCGGCTGACCGGCTGACCGGCTGACCAGCTGACCGCGTGAAGAAGCTGATGAAGGCGCTGACCGGCTGACCGGTTGACCAGCTGACTGGCTGACCGGCTGACCAAATGACCATGGCCGACCGGCTTTGACCGATTGACCGGATGACCGGTTGACCGGCTGACCGGCTGACCGGCTGACCGGCTGACAGGTTGACCGGCTGACCGGTTGACCAGCTGACCGGCTGACCAGCTGACCGGCTGACCGGTTGACTGGCTGACCGGTTGACCGGCTGACCAGGTGACCGGCTGACCGGTCGACCGGCTGACCACATGACCAACTGACAAGCTGACCTGCGGACCGGCTGACCGGCTGACCGTATGACCGGCTGACCGGGTGACCGGGTGACCGGCTGACCAGCTGACCGGTGGACTGGGTGACCGGGTGACCGCTTGAAGGAACGCGTCGGTTAGTGATAGTTAGCTGGAGTTATAACTAATTAGTAACTGGTTATAACTAGTTACCGTGTTGGAGTTTTTGGAGTGGCATGCTCGTTTTTGTGGCTTATACCTGAGGTTTTTTTGGAACGTGCATTTTGTTTTTTTGAAGATTGCATGTTGGTTTCTTTGCATATCGATGTGTTTGTTTGTAAAGTATGCGCTAACAGAACAAACTACGGTATTCAACGGGCCAAATGCACGTGATATGATAGCCAACTCTCCTGTAAACAACTGGAGATTTCAACGAACTGAAGGGGATGAGAACGGGATCGCGGGCATCAGCGATGACATGCCTAGAAAAGTGTTCGCTCGCATGCACATGCTTTGTAATCAGAATCTGAACTCAGCTCTGCGGCGGATCGCCGTCGCATTTCACGTGGAACCACACTTGGACTGCAACGTGGCCACGATCGCGACCCATTAAAACTATGTCACCACCTTTGATTTGTCCTCCATGTTCGGCGTGCGCTTCAATGGTCGAGACTGCTGCATGCGTGCCTGGCCGCAGCTGCTGCAAAGCACTCGCCAAACGTTTGCTTGCAGCTGTGGCGCACTCGAACTCGCACTCCAGTGACAGCCCGCGGATGTTCTGTAGATCATGCATGTGCTGAGCCGTGAGCTGGATCATTACAGCCTTCTCGGGCCTCGTCTTGCACAGGTGGTCCTTTGCAAATATTTTGACATGTTTGCGTTTCCGCTCTTGGACAAAACATGATAAAGCACGATGCCTCTCAAACATATCAGCCAAGTGGATAGCCATGTGATGCTTATACACCCAATACTCGGCACCATATGCGCGCTGGTGGAGCTCCAAATGTTTCGACGCTGCTGACTCAACCTCGTCGCGTGTGCATGGCAATCGCCTCGACGCGCAGAGAATAACATCCACGGCGTCACATAACGCCAGCATGCTTGCTATCTGGTCTGCGACTGCATCGCATGATGGCGTAGTGGCAATGACTTGCCTGATGCATAGAGCCAGCGCGGGAATCGCAGATAGCTCTTGCGAGGCACTCGCCTGGAAGTCTCCCGTTTCCCAGACTGTTGCAGCAGAGTGGTGCTTGGATGGCCATGTCCCCTTCATGAAGTTATCGTGGAGGTCGCTGGCGCTGCACAGTTTCTTGGAATCTTTGTGCTCTAGGAGGGCCCTGACTTCCCGATCAAAAATACCACTAACGAAATATACGTGCATCCAATCGAAGCAGAGGAATGTCGTCACCAAGTATCTAAGAAACGGGTCCAGTACGACATGCGTTGGATGGAAATTCCAACCTTTCACCTGCGTCACAGATGTGCACTGCGCGTCTGTGAGCTCGTCTCGCTGGTACCTCTCCCAATCAGGGCGCCACCCCTCCACGATCGCGACGACTGTCGCGTCGGTGTTGTATTCGAGTTTTGTCAAGGAAGGTATCATCAACGTGTGCCCCTGAAGAATCGAATTGCGTGTAACCGAATTTCTTGTTAAGGACGTTCCTGCAAATTGCGCGCGGCTTAGAGCCAGCGTGCCTCTTGTTCATATGAAGCTCCCTCAATGCCTCCTCGTCTCCTATAG